TAAAGGTAACACTGAAATTTCAGGGTTTTTTTTTTTGGGACACTGTCGATCAGGGATTCTACGTAGAGGGGCCCTGGTGCATTAACGTGCCTAAAAGTGAATCATAGGCCCTGGCCCCACGCCTGCTGTGGGTGGCTCGGGAGAGGCGTGCCGGGGATGATGCAGTGGAGAGGCAGAGGAGGCGAGAGTAGTATGGTAAGGAAGATTGACAAAAGGTGGTAAGCTAATTCTTCTAAAAATGGCTAAATCAGGAATGCATTCTGTAATTCTGTTCTCCACCTTCTACCTGCTAACCTAAACATGGTACCGTATAGTTCCGGCTAAAAGACCCGCCGTTAAGAAGGTCCCCCGGGACTCTTGAATGGGTAGGGGGACTCTTATTGTGGCAGATTTTGTTAGGACCCCCCTTTGCCTCTAATCATCATAAGACCCCCCCCCCTTTTCTGTATACTGTAGTTATTAATGCTATTGTGCATCAGTTTTTACTGGCACAAATTTGAATTCTGACACGTTTTTTGTGTCAGACTCGAATTCTGACACAGATCTGACGTTTTTTTTTTTTTTTTTTTTTTTTTTTTTTTAGAATGCGTATGCACTATAACAGATGCAAAACATTCACAGTCGTAACTGGATTCTGGAGGGAAATGGCATACCCCAGCCGAGACTCGGGCACCTCCCCCCAACACGTGTCTAAGGTGGCTGCCGAATGGTCTTGGGGTTCTGCCAGATAGACAGAAAATCTACTCTCCACGTGGCTTGCTCCCCTGCCTCGCTTATCCTTGCAACCGCCGCCCTCTCATCTCCTGCCAGGCCACCCCACGGGTCCCGTGGCTGCCCTTGGACCTTGCAACCTGTTGCCTTCCTCAACTTTTCTGCTCTGTACAGCCTCGCGTGCCGCATGAAGTCATATATTGCCGCCCTTGCAACCTTTTTCTGTTGAAACTTCTCCTTCCGAAACACCGCATCCACCCTGGCCAACCAGATTCTCCGCATCGTCACCGCTGTCAATGTAGCCCCCGGAAAACCGGACTTCGTGGCCCCTTCTTTGAACAGCATGTCGCCTAGCGACCTCGTTTGGTCCGCCGGGTTCATCATCCTCAGTGAGCTTAGCAGCGCGCCAATCACCGGCTGAATGACGGGGCAGGTGCGCATGCAGTGATCTAGGGTTTCTGGAGCCCCGCAGTGGGGACAACATCCTCTGGGACCAAGAAACACCAGCCTCCCCCCCACCTGCAGGTTCTTGCTGTGCATCCGCAGTAACACATCCCGCGCTCTGTAGGGAATTGCCAAGGAGTCTTTCCTTTCCCTCACAGCCTTCCAGTCGATCTTCCTTCCCAGCTCTTCCTCCCACTCGTGCCTCCGCCTAGAGGCTGAGACCGGCCCCGTTAGCGCCCTCCTTATCACCTTAGGCGCTGCCGGTTTCATGTGATCCCCCACCAGCGAGGTCTGGCATAGCTTGACCCGCGGCTCGCCCATCGTTCCTAGCACCGTGCCGCTCCTGGCCACCACTGGCTCCACACTTCTGACAGGGAAAGCGACCGCATACGGACTCTGCGGCGCGACCAAGTTGGAACCGTCCGAGCAGTTGAGGTGATCTGTCGCCACCTCCCCCTCCTCGACTCCTCTCACCGTCCAGTACAAGAATTCTTGCGTCCGTGCCAAGACCGTGCGCACCACCTTTGCCGCCGCCACGACTGCCGCAGCTGTTTTCGGCGCCGTCAACAGCAACTTCCAGCTTGCCGGGGAGGCCTCGTAGGCCTTCCTCGCCCATCTGGCCGACGCCACGCTCCCGAACTCTGCTGTCAGTACTTTTATGTCCTTCAGACATCTGCTCCCATCCTCCCTGGTGACGAGTAGGCTTCCCAACGTGGTTGTTAAAATCCCGGCTGTACCCTGTTGATTCCCGAAAGGGCTCCCCCCCTGGAACATGACCCGTCTGTTGAAGCATAACAGCTCCCGTTCTGCTTCCCAGCTGTTGGACGGCTCCGGCAGGTCCGCGAACGGGGACTCCCAGAACACGTCCGCTATCGCCTTCCACCTCTGGCTTCCCTTCTCCCAGTGTTTCCCGGCAGACTTGTGGGTGAAAAAAGTCGCAACGCCTTGAGGCAGCGCCGCCGCCTTCTCCATCAGCCACCTCTTGGTGGCGTCGCACTCCGTTAAGAGCTTCCCCACCTGCGGTATCGCCATGCTGTCCAGTCGGTCCTTCGGATCAATCAGCCCCAGCCCGCCGTCCTTCTTCGGCATCCGCGCCAGCTCCCCACTCCATAGCACAAAGATTTTTCCGACGTCACTTCCCCCTTCGAGACGTAATTGTCGCAGGTTTTCTGAATCTTCGTCCATAACTCCTCCGGCGGTGGGTAAATCTGCGCCTGAAAATTTATTATAGGCATGATGTAGCTGTTGATGACCGTGACTCTTGATGCCGTTAGCAGGTGCTGATTCTCCCACTTGATCAGCTCCTTCTTTCCCCTCTCCCATGCCTTTTCCCAGGACGGCACCGCGTCCCCGTCCGGCGTCATCCATATTCCCAGCAAGCGCTCAGGAACGCCCGCCTCCGCCCACTTGAAACTGACTCCTGGTAGGGACGTTCTTTCTTTGTTCCTACCCAGCAACATGACAATCGACTTGTCTTGGTTGATGCGCAGGCCTGACAGTGCCCCAAACCAGTCCAGCGCTGATGCAGCCGAGCGGAGCTGGTCCGCGCCTTTCAAGATCAGCGAGGTGTCGTCCGCGTAGCCAACATATGACACCGCGTCACCCTTGTCCGCCTTGACCCCGAGACCGCGCTTCCTTATCTCCGCGCAAAGCGGCTCCAGTGCACAGAGGAAGAGGTAGGGTGCTAGGGGGCACCCCTGTCTTACCCCCCTTTGCATTTCGACCTTCTCTCCAACCCAGCCATTTATCGCCAGCCTCGTTCCTGACCCCTGGTGCAGGCCCTTTGCCCATTTGATAAATTGCGCAGGTAGACCAAGTTTTTCCAGCGTCCCGAAGAGGAACGGGCGCGACACTGTGTCGTAAGCTTTTTGGAAGTCGACAAGTAGGAGGTACCAGTCCTCCCCATCATTGTCCGCCGCCTCTATCGCATCTGCAACCACCGCCACCGCGTCCGCCAGGCTACGCCCCGGTATGAACCCATGCTGCTCCTTTGAGATGATGTGATGCAGTTCGCGTTTGAGCCTGTTAGCGAGAACTCTTGCCAGGACCTTGTACACTGTTGTGAGTAGCGTAATCGGCATGTAGTTTGTCAGCAGGTCCTTATCCCCTTTCTTGTGCAGTAGGACTGTTACCGCCGTCGTCAGCGACTCTGGCAGCACTCCCGTCTCCTCAAAATTGCTGGCGAAACTCATGAAACGCCCTCCCAACAGGTCCCAATGAGCTATGAAGAGCTCCGCCAGAAGACCGTCGTGCCCTGGCGATTTTCCTTTCGGGAGACCGTCCAGCGCTGCCTTGACCTCCGGCTCCGTCCACGGGGCACTGAGCCTGTCCACCGCCTCTGCCGGCATGACCCTGTCCACTGTGAAATCAGCGCTCGTCGACTGAGGCGCCGCCGCTTCCGCCTTGAAAGACTCCGCGAAATGTGTCGATGCCGCTTTGAGCACCGCGTGTGATCCGCGGTGGCGTTCTCCCTTAAAGAGCACCTCCTCTATCAGCGTTCGCTCCTTCCTCATCTTCACTTGCGCTGACAGGTACGGCGACGCGATCTCCCCCTGCAACTCCGCCGTGAGTCCTGCGAAAACTTCCAGCCTCTCCCGCTCGTTTTCCCGGTAAGCTTCCAACTGTTCTTCCCTGGCCAGCAGCAGCGCCTTAACTTTGTCGTCCGTTGGTCCACCCATGACCATGTGCCGTAGCCGTTCCACCTCCTCCGTGGGGTGCATCTGTGTTGCCGTCACCCTTTTCCTTTCCTCTTTCTCGTGCGCTCGCAGATCTGCTGTCCGTCTTGGTAGTAGGCACTCCAGAGAGCCCCTGCCCGTCTTGTCGAGCGACTCCGTAATTGATTGGACGATCTTTCTCACCCCTCTCCTTTTTCCCCGTGTAGCATGGAACCTCCACAGACCCGGCCCACGCTCGTGCTCCGAGGCGAATTTGAGCCTTATCTTTACGGCGAACCAATGGTCAGTTAGCTTCCTCGGCGCCTCCACATGCCGGGCCTCCACCAGATTGCCGAGCAGCGATGTGGATACTAAGGCTCTGTCGATGCGCGTCTTCGACTGCGAGGCCCTATCTTTGAACGTGTACTCCTTGTTGGTGGGGTGCAGGGCGCGGAAGGCATCACGGAGGTCGTGCGGCTGCCACGCATCCAAGAAACGCTGGTTCTCCCTCCCCGACCCCAGGCCTGACGACTTATCCAGGTCTGGGTCAGCGACCATATTAAAATCCCCCACCACCAGCAAGTGCTTCGACTGCGGCTGCGCCTGGACGAAGGGTAGCAGGTGTTCCGTGTGAAACTTCGCTCTGTTGCATGCTTGCGCCAGGAGGTATGCAGCTACCAGCCTAAAAGGCTCCTCCCCTCCTTCTACTGTCACCCCTAAGAGTCTCCCCGTTGGATCTGGCAGGGCATCAGAGAAGCGAATGTGCCTTCCAAAAGACACCACCGCCACCCCACCCGCTGACTGGCTCGGTCCAATCGCAGCCCACGCTTTCGGCTTAATCTCTTTCCAAAAATTGTGATCCTCCTTAATCCTCGTGTCTGAGAGAACCATTTTGTCCGCTGTCGTTCTTAACCATCTCCTGTTCTTGCTCCGTTTCCCGCTGCTGCCAAGGCCATTCACATTGACCCCGCAGATGGTAAGAAATGGTGTATTACCCATTGATCCACTTGGCAACGAGCCCCTCGCATCCACGGGCTTTATTAATGATGGTACAGCACACGGAAACCACATACGACGCTACAGCTGATGGAATCTGCTCTGTTGCTGATATCTTTGTAAACTTCTCCCCCGCCAGCCTCCCTGAAGCCCACACAGGTACCCTCCAGCGCCACCACACGCACTGCCGGCTAGTCACACCCCATACTCCTTCTTGACTTGCGCGAGGTTCAGCTTCCCCATGCTCAGGCGTGTCGCCGCTCCCGCCTTGAGCAGCCCGGTGCCGTGGCGAACCGACTGGACATGTACCACCGCCTTCTCGAAACTGGAGCCGTGGGCTTTCCCGCAGTCTTCCTGGGAGCACAGCCACTCCTCCCGGACACCACCCGTGGACGTTAAGGCAATCGCAGGATCCGCCAACAAGGTCTTCAGCGCCGATGAAAGCTTCATGGAAGCCGCTGCTCGGGGGATGGGTCGAACAGAGGTCGGCATGGAGGCTCGCAGCTGCAGCCACCTGAAAAGCAAGGTAAGAGAAGCAGCTGGAGGAGTTACCATTGATCTCATGAGCGCGCAAAAGAGGCAGATTCCAGTTCCCAATATTGTTCTGCCTCTCCTTAACATAATCATCATGGAAGCACGACATGTGCATGCCATTGCAGAAATCGCAGACCAGCGCAGGGAATGATACCAGCAGGTCAATCCCGTGAACTTTGTCAGTGACCTTATGCCACCATTTATACTTATCCCCCTGATGCCTGAGAACCAAGCCCTTTATCTTGTCAGTATCCGACCCCGACACAGGATCAAGCACGCGGTGAAAAGCCAAACCGTCACGGAACGCCGTACGACCTCGCTTCAGCAGCATCGCCGAAACCAGGTTCTTCTTAAGCATCGCCGGTGAGATGACCGCAGGCACACCCTTGAGCAGCACCTCAATCGCCTCCGAGTGCGCTGCACGCTCCTTAAGGTACTCCTTGTTCTCCGGATGCTGCCAGCCGAGCGTCAACTTCTTTTCATTCGCCGTGTAGTGTTCGATCTCTCTGCTCCTCATGAAAGCTGCATCCGCCTCCAGCAAGAAGACAACTTCGATACGGCCGAAGTGCTGCTTGGAGAGAAACGTTGCAGGGAGTTGCTGACACCTTGTTGTCGCCTTTACGTTCTCCGACATGTGCTTTCCCCACAAAAGCAGCAGGTGGTTGACAGTGTTGAAGATACGCGGAATCTCCTTGCTCCAGTTGAAGGGAACCAACAGTGTGATGGCGACACCAGCCTGCGCAGCGATCTCGTTGAGCGTCACCGGGTCTTGACACTCGTCAGGGTCGTCGCTAAGGTAGCCGTCGTCATCTTCCGCGTCTTGCTCCTTAGCTTTGCCGCGGTCCTGAGCATTAGGGCCTGACGGAGGAGCAGTCCCCGCCATGTCACTGATGCTCGTTTTGTTGACTGCAGGCAGATCATTGATACGCAGCGCCGACGTCCTCGCCGTCAAATCCTTAATCACACTCCCACCCTGTGATGACGACGCTCCATTAAACAAAGTCTTCGGAGTGACCGGCTCAGGACGAACATCCGCAGGCTTCTTCCCGTGGGGACCGGCAGCCAGAGCATCAGCAGCAGAAGAAACCTCCGGCGGAGCCATGGTGCAATGATGAAACGAGGCTGAAGACAGAGCTCCAGTAGCAGGTTGAAAGCCAGAACTGAGCACCTTAAACTCCTGAAATGCCTTGTATCTTTCTCTCCACCAGCTCCTGTATAAGTAGTAATTCGAATCCTGTAGAAGCGCGTCGAGGAAGTAGTTGGGAGACTTGATATTGTCATGCTTCCTGGGAATGTCGTAACCCCTGATAACACCATTGCCAAAGAAAGCCTCGAGAGTGCCTGACAATAGGGCCGAATGGTCAATGTTCGTTATATGAACACAAAAAGTGTACCAACGGGATCCTACAGTCTTAAGGAGTACGAATCTAGGCTCGCTTTTGGCAACTGACATGAAATCGTGGGACATTGACACGTGTAAAGTTCCTAGGAGTAGCCATGGCGGTCTCGTCATTGTGTGGGGCGTGAATGGCAGTACGAATATAAGACCCCCCCGCCCCAAATTGAGCTGTACACCCTAAATAACAGATTGATAGATGATAAATAAGTGTACCCCGGGTCTTAAAAAGTTGCAACCGCCAAGATGTCCACCCTAGCATTTTTTAAAGCAATTCTAGAGAGTCCCCCGGGTCTTCTAGCCGGAACTATACGGTAGTACTCAGACAATCAGATCCAAGTCCGTTACAACCACACTAGCTAACATTCTTTCCAGTCATCGAATCAAACTCGCTTCACAATCACATTCGCTTGCATCAGCGCTTGACGCGTCCTGCTTGACAACTTGTCTTCCTCCACCTTCAACCAGCAGAGCCGGGGAAAGCTCTCAAAAACCCCCTCGACTCCAGCCGCAGTAACCCTCGTACACTCCACGAGAGCAAGTCGTTCGAGCGTTTCAATATGGCAGCTGTGAATAACTGTGTCTGACACGTCCTCGTTTTGAGATATACCCAATTCCTTCAAAACAGAACACGCCTGAAGCAAGGCCACCAAACCTTCTTCCCCTAGAGCAGAGCTGTTGATAAGAGTCAGTTTCTTCAAATCCTTGAATGCAGCCTGCCACTGAATGCCGCCAAGCGCCTCATCAATGCTTGCCAACGAAGTTTTTGGAATAGGAAGGCCACTTTGGGCAGCACTGTTAAGAGCGGCGCGACGACAATAGAAAGCAAACCCCCGAAGCGTCAACGATTTGAGAGGAGGATGGATTAGCTCGGCAGACTGAGGATCATCCCTATCAAAGGCTTCTATACCCATCCTCTTGGAAGAACCCTGGGGCCGAACTAGCATGTGAATCAGGCCTTCCAGCTTGCCTTGAAATGAGTGAAGGGTGAGCGTCTCCAAGAAGCTGAGATCTGTAAGAAGAATGCGTTGGCATGTGTCGAATGAGGCAAGGCTGAGAGTTTCCAGCTGCTTGCAGCAATCTAGCATGGCATTGACCGTTTTCCGAGTGGTCAGATTGAGTTGGAGAGAGAGCGAGCGGAGTGCCGGGTTAGAGCTAGCAATGGCCTGCACACCTTCGTCAGTAATGTTTCTGCATCCGACGACTGACAGGCCAGAGAGGGAGTGAAGGGACCTTGCCAAGCCCTCCAAATCAAGGTACATGATATCAAAGGAATCGAAGGAGAGCGTGGTGAGGCTGGTAAAAGAGCTGAGGGTCACGAGAGAAGAGCTGACGCTTGAATACATTAACGTGAGCGACTGGAGTGAAGGAAAGGAGGAGGATCCAGAGGTAAGAGTACACAGTATGGGGTCAGTGATATTTGAAATGGTCAAAGAGGTGAGAGAAGAGGAGTGACAGATGGGAAAGAAGTCCCGTGGGAAGCTTAAGATGATGAGGGTCAGAGACTGAAGAGCGGTGAAAGTTTCAAGAGCAGAAAATATTATGTGTGGTGTGTTGGAACCGCGAATCTCGAGGGACTTCAAGAACCTGCAAAATACAGCAATCATAAGCGTAAGGCAGGTAACGCACTAAAAACTTATTTAAAAGGCTCACCGGCTGTCTTGACCAAACTGTTTCCACCCAGTCGTGGTGACACGGTCACACCCGAACGCAGAGAAACTTTCCAGTTTTGGGCATTTCAAGGCGACTGCTTCCAAGAGCTCAGGGCCGAATCCATTTAGTCCGAGAAACCGGATACATTTGGTAGTCTTACTCCGCATGCGTAGATTGTTGATGCACGGGAAGATGGCGGCACAGTCATTTAGGTCTGTCAGAAATTTATGGAAAGAGCCGTTAAAATCGAGGGAAAGCGAACGAGGACAGAGCTTGATGAAGTCCCGAAACCGCGTGCAGGTGAGAGCCGCGTGACAGCGATCGTCTGGGTCATCGAGGAGAGAGAGGATAGTAAGTAGAGTGTCGTCCGGAAGTGAAAATATGTGAAGAGTATCTTGGTTCATTGTGTTACGGCGTAATCACACATGCAGAACGCTTTTGTGGGAGCTTGAGAGGATCACTTCGTGTGCACAAACCAGAAAGCTCCTGATTCAGGAAAGAAGCAGTCCTATTTAGCCTAAACGGGGAGTATAATGACCAACCTAGAAATCAGCAGTGGAGCTGCTGGAGCGAAGTTCTGAACTTCGTAGCAATCGAGCTTCGAATTTAGCGGCATTACGGAGTCACTCGATAATCGAATTCGTCACTGGTTGGGCAAAGACGCCCGCATGGTTGAAAGCCTTACACGTTTGCCAAGATGCACCCATTATTGATTTTCACTTATGCCACAATGTAACACACCACCCACCCAGCCCAACAGCTGTGAATATACCAGTACTCTTTTGACACTCACGAACCCCTAGATTGCATTTCCTTAAAAAAAACAACCTATGCCACCCTCTGCGGGAGAGGATTACAGTTACAGCATCATTCCACCATTGCCAAACTTCAACTTGCACTGCAGCATGCCTCGTCGTTGCCGTCTTTTGTTGATATAACCGAACAGGTCATTAAGAATTTCTGAAGCAGCGCATTCAAGCCACAAAAAGGGATATATTTTCTTGCACATGGAACATCCCTTGTAATGCACCTAGGATTTCATCCATCCATCCTTCCTGCACAAATACATTACAGCTTGTGCTAGACCCGCTGCTACCAGCACTCCTGCTAAGGCTTGCCTGGCACTGGCAATTCGCATTCGCCTCGCCAGCTGAGGGTTGGATCGCCTAGGCTTTCATCCATGCCTTGGCTAGCTTCTTTGACAGATACCTCATGGCATGCGCGGGACCTGCGGCTAGCACTCCTGCTATGGCTTGCCTGGCACTGGATATGCGCACTCGCCTTGCCAGCTCAGCTGCCAGCTCAGCACACAGCACCTTTCTGGAGACACTCAGTGCAAGCCGATGCGAGAGAGCTGCTGGCGTGGCAACACTAGGCTGAATGGGCGCCTGGGAAGTCGGTGCTTTTCCCCACATCTTGGAAATAGGAGGGGCTGAGCCTTCCCGAAAGTGGGATGGGAGAGGAGAGCGCAGAAGGTAAGGTGGAGTGGGGAGGAGGCAATGTGAGAGGGAGGCGAGGGTGGAGGCAGGGATGTGCTGAAGAAGGTATTGGCGACAAGTGGTTGAAATCTCCTGCAAGGGGTGTGCAGGAGTGGGGAGGAGGTGACGTGAGAGGGAGGTGAGAATGGAGACGGGGATGTGGTGGAGGAGAAACAACGGAAGGGTTTAGAAGGATAAACGGGATGAAGAACGAACATAATGTGCTAGAGCCAGGGTGTGTGGCGGAGAGACAAAAGGGGGGCTATTTTAGAGGCGCCTAAAAAATATACTAAAAATGTCGAGGCGGGGAGAAGGGAGAGTGGAGCAAGGAGAGGGGAGAGGGGAGCAAGGAGAGGGGAGAGGGGAGCAAGGAGAAGGGAGAGTGGAGCAAGGAGAGGGGAGAGGGGAGCAAGGAGAGGGGAGAGGGGAGCAAGGAGAAGGGAGAGTGGAGCAAGGAGAGGGGAGAGGGGAGCAGGGAGAGGGGAGAGGGGAGCAGGAAGAGAGGAGAGGGGAGCAGGGAGAGGGGAGAGGGGAGCAGGGAGAGGGGAGAGGGGAGCAGGGAGAGGGGAGAGGGGAGTAGGGAGAGGGGAGAGGGGAGCAGGGAGAGGGGAGAGGGAAGCAAAGAGAGGTGAGAGGGAAGAGGGGACGCACCTGGCACTCCCTGGTCCCCTCTCCCCTCTCCCTGGTCCCCTCTCCCCTCTCCCTGGTCCCCTCTCACCTCATCCTGGCCCCCTCTCCCCTCTCCCTGGTCCCCTCTCCCCTCTTCCTGGTCCCCTCTCCCCTCTCCCTGGTCACCCTGTCGTTTAAACAGAGTGGCTGCTAGCACCTCACCTGTGCTATCAACCGTTGCTCACCAGTCTAGCTGGGGACAACTCGCCCGCAGTGGACGAGCTTTGAGGTGCCTCAGAACTCGTCTGATACAAGACAGAGCAGCAGATAAACTGCTGCTAGCTTCCCACCTTGTTCTGTAGTTCACTTGCAGATGATTCAGCAAGAATATACGAGTTTTGAGGTGCCTCAGAACTCGTCTGATACAAGACAGAACAGCAGATCATCTGCTACTAGCTCCCCACCTGCCCAATCAGTCTCTTGTTCTGTAGTCCAGTTCCAGAGGATTCGGCAGGAGTGGACGGAATGCAGTGGAGGCAGCCCGAGCTGACGAAATGCTGGAGAGAGGAGCGATAGAGCGAGCGGAAATGGTGGAAACCACCGAAGACAATTCTGCTGATCTGATGAGAAGGACAGGGAATCGGGACAAGCGACACGGGGGTAAGTATGACATGGGAAAGAGTGGCAGGTTGAGATAGGTTGAAGATGGCACATGTACACTCAATTTGTTTGTACAACAAGATGTGCGTAACACAGCTGCTGAAGGCATGCAGACTGCAGCACACACGCACGTACCTTGTTGGGGTCTTCAGCCAGTGCCATGCGCACATCGCCTGTGTATGAAATGCGACAAATTGCCTCGTACAGCTCATGCTAATGGTAGTGAGGGCAGATACGTGGTAAGATAATAAAAAGGGGTTGGGGTTGGGAGGGGGGGGAAAGGGGCCAGGGGGGTGGGGAAGGGGGCCAGGGGGGTGGGGAGGAGGGGGAGGAGAGGGGGAGGGGCGGTTGAGGTGGTAAGGGTGTTAAGAGAGAGGGGCGCAGAAAGACACTGGAGCTTGGGACAGTGGAATTACTCCCTCTCTGGTAGCGGGCATTGATTAACGGGCAAGTCGACGGGCCAAGGCCATATCAAGGAAACAATAACCAATATATTGTTAAGTGCAAAGTAAGGCAACGTCACAAATCTAATCCGGTGCCTCGCCTGAACAATTCCCACCGAAAATATATCATGGATGAAGTGAGAAGCTGCAGCATGTGTCTGGCTTCTGTGGGAGTTTCCTTGAGTACTCTAAAAAATTGCTCTGTCGGAATACCTCTGTGAATGTCTGGGGGAGAAGCAGCAGCGCCGCAGCCACAGCTGCTCGCAAGTTGTGTGATTGTAGCGAGAGAATGTGATCATGAAGGATAAGAATCTCCACCTGCAGACCAATATACCGAAACATAAACGCAACATTCACCCCCTTTTTTTATTTTTTCTTTTTTTTCATACGAGCAAGTTGTGCCAGAGTCAGGAGACCGAAAAGAAAAATGCTGTAGCACTAATGTGCAGAGAGAATTGCCTCCATGTGTGCATGTCTCCACCATGAATGCTCGCTTGTGTGAATGGTGCGCCCGCATATGCACATGTGCGTGTGTGCATGTGCATATGTATTAGTGCAAAGTGGAAGGTGAAAAGGATCAGAGGCGCATCTGTGCGACTTGTGAGGTAAGAGCAAGCTGGAGTGGAGGAAAGAGGAGGAGGAGAGAGGTGGAGAGAGACTGACTGCGAGGAAGAGACAAGTGGGCAACGGGGTTAAGGGAGAAACGGGTTTTTACCATAGGGGGGATCATAATGGGAAACAAGAGAGAGCAGTTAGGAAAGAGAGGTTGCTATGGCAACAGAGAGGGTGCACATGGGGAAGAGAGGTTGCGAGGGGCAAAGGGAGGGTGCAGGGGAAAGTGAGGGTGTGAGGGCGAAGAGGGGAAAGGGGAGGGTTCAGGCGAAGAGAGGCAAGGCAGGGAGCCGCACAGAAAGACAGCAGTACAGGCTTGTGAAGGCGACCACTGATGTAGAGGTGCTGCCACGTGGCGAGATCTGATTGCAGAGCCCTTGTTGCTATCACTCCGTACTTGACCTGCCAACAGGGATACACGCGTGCAGCAAGAACAAGGCATGCAAAAACATGACACTTGCGGATCGGATCAGCATTATTGATCTAGTGTGTGCTACTTGATCTCTGATCAGCTGACGACATTTCCTTGATTACCAAGGAAGGAAAGAGATTCCATAAAGCACAGCACGGGTTCTAATGCATCTGGTTGAGTGGCGAGTGGGACTCTTGAGTAAACTCAAGTTTGAAATCAAAACACAAAATCAGAGTGGAATGAGTTTCAAAGCACCTGGTTGAGTGGTGCGTGCGGAACGAACGGATTAAAGTGCACCCCCACCCCCACCCTGTCTGCTGCAGCCACAACCTTACAAGAATGAGAAGAGAAGGTGGTCCAAGAGAAAGGGGTTGTGCAACACAGCAGGAGAGAGCTTGGCACATCATGGAAGCGGAATGAACGCTTTGGACAGAAGAAAACGGCAGAATGCGTGTTATGGTTACGGATCGGAGCCGATCCAGTGACACCTACATTCATGCACACTTGCACAAGCAACGGGGAACACTCATGTGTGGCCGTGCATATAAGAGGCATCTACGAGGATCCTTCAGCTCTTGAGCAGCCAGGGGAAGAATGGGAGGTGGGACAAGAGAACGGAGTTGTGCAACACAGCAGATTGGCGCGACATGGAGGCGGAATGGACGCCTTGGGGAGAGGAGCATGGCACCAATTAAGGTTGAAGCGAACATGCATGTTTTGGTTTCTGCGAATCAGAGCCGAACTAATGGCATGGCACCTACATGCATGCACACATGCACAAACAACAGCGAACATGCAGGTGCGGCCGTGCATAGTAGAGGGATATACGAGGAGCCTTCAGCTCTTACAACAGCAAGGAGAAGAATAGCGAGGGCTTACAACTCAGCTGCCAAATGTGGTGAGGAGAGAGGAGTAGCTGTGGCGGTGCATATAAGAGGCATATACGAGGAGCCTACAGCTTTTACAACAGCTAGGGAGAGAATGGAGAGGGCTTACAGCTCGGCTGCCGAATGTGGCGAGGAGGGAGGAGTAATGGCCTCGGTTATGTCTCAAGTTCTGATAGGGACATAAGACATGGACATGGTGATGTGCAGCGGGGAAGGGAAGATGCCAAAAGGAGGGAGGAACAGTGGGTCGGTTATGTCTCAGGTTCGGATGCAACCACGGGGTGCGATGGAACGACATGGACATGTACATGGTGATGGTGACATGCAGCGGCGAAGGAAATATGCAATGAGGGATTGCGTGGAGGGGAGACCCGACGGAGTTTGGAAGCATCACAAGCACCACTGGAAAGACGGTTAACATCAGGATGAGGAGCCCTGGAGTCACATCCGAATAACATCGAACGCCGTTGATGTGGTTAGAGAATAAAATGATCCAACGGCTCACCTCAGCATGCCAGGATAGAGGGTCATCAACGGCCAGGATGAAATCCACCATGGACGACGATGATGGTGAGGGAGGGATGGAGGAGTAGGATCGATGCTCAGCATGCTGGAGGCCTGACAAATTTCTCCTGTCAGTTCTCTCGCATTGAAAGCTAGAGCTGCTGCCGTTGCTGTTGCTGTTGCTGTTGCTGTTGTTGCTGCTGCTGCTACTGCTGCTAGTACTCCTCTCGTCGCCGCTTCCAGGATTTTCGGAATGATCGCTGCTGCTAACCCGGCTATCGCAATCTTGTGGGATATCTCGCGGGGTTTTCCTGTCGACAGGTGGCTGTTGGAAGACGCGCGAGCCATAGGCGAAGGCGAAGTCGACAGGCGGAAGGAGGTCCAGGAATCCAGTGAGCTGGGCTCGTGAAAGGGACGAAGGCGGAGGTTCATTTGTTGGACGGTCGGACGACAAGAAACGACTATTAGACGACATTTTAACAGGTCTAAACGCTTGGATTCAAGCTAAATGGCACAGATCATGAAGCACATGTACTCGATGACCTAATACTCGAATTATTCCTCGACGCACGCTATTTGGCCGATTCCAGCAATCTGAGGTGCGCTCGTAAATCGAGGCTGTAGCGAGACTGAGTGCTACGCTGGAAGGGGAGCGGCGACAAATGCGGAAGGGAATCGCAGGAAAGCCATGAAGGGATGGAGAGGGATGTGGTGGATTGCTTCTGGAGTTAGATGGTACACTTTGGGTTAATTTGAAAGTTCGTTTTGTGTGCTGGAAAGTGAAGTGAATGGGTCGCCACGTAACGAGGAATGTCAAATACAGTAACTGAAAACAAGAAATTTGTGCTACCTGGATTGAAGCGTTCACCGTTTGGCTAGGTGGTACGGTACACGCAAAATGCAACGCAACCGAACTAAAAGTGCGTGAGTGAACCCAAGATTCGGCTCTTTCCCGCGAACACTTGTACGGAAATCGTATTGCGAAACAGACGCGAATCACTCGTAAAACGAAACAAGCCGAAACCCGATGCAGACATGATATGGGAAGAACAAGGAACCTTGGGAAACTCTTCAGAGGCCTCCAGATGATATATCTTAGAATCACCATTTTACTCTTGCTCCGAACAAATGCACTCCTACATTCCTTGGGAGAAGCCTGCAAGAACAGTCAGTCAGCGACTTTCGCTTGCAGTTGAACAATTGGTGCTCGCGAGTTTTTCCGCCATTCGCATTCCTCCTTGCAAGTTGCAACCATGATTGCCGGCGATTTTGTGAAGGACTTGGGGGCGTTGGTGATGGGTGAGGATGATGAGTTGTTCACACTAACATCGAATAGATTCAGTCGTTCTTAATCTCAAATTGATTCGCAGTGACGCTTCTCCTTCCGCTCGCCATGTATGGCATGAGAGGAACGTCAACTATGAAGACAAGGCTGGCAGCAGCCCTTTCCATAATTATTCTCCTTGGCCTTTTCACCATGGTATCCATGAGTCTAATGTATGCGAGCACACACAGAATTGACTACTCCGCAGCAGGTATGTATACGGAGGTCTTTTCGGCTGTATCGCACTGTCGCAATGGGTGACTTACGATTGTTACTTTCCGTCGCAGTCCACCTGGCTGCCGAACGTGATGAAGAATCAATTTGCGAAGAACGACTGGCGCCAAGCAAAGAGGGCCCTATTGTGTCCGGAAAGAATCACTCTTTGATCAACATTGCTGGGCCAATGACTGGTCTTGGCTGGTGGCGAGAAATCCTTCGAGCGTTCTCAAATGACGATAATTTGATGTTCGGAGAGGGCGGTTCAGACTCATTGGACTGCTCGTTTGATGTGTTCCAGGTAATTTTGCAGATCTGCTTCAGGGGTTCTCAGCATGCTCTTGTGGTTTACGTTGCTGACACTTCTTAGCGCATGTTCGGATGACAGGTAGAGAAGTATGATGACGAAGATTTGATTAAACTTCCAAGGCCTTATAAAGGAACACTCATAGTACGCGATCCTAGGTCCATCATCCTTGAGCAATGGCTTTTGGGTCAACTGGAGTGCAGATCGCCTGGCCGTTTCCACGAAGGAGTTGGTTCGGCAAAATCAAAAATCATTCAATCTCAGGTAAGCACATTGATCATTACGTATGGTGCTATGGAGGAAAGGGAAGAGAAGGTGCAGATCCTTGACATTATCTGCTCTGTTGCCTGCAGAGGATCTGCAGACTGACTAAGGAGGCAGGCATAAACTACGTGATAGCTGCCCTAAGCGAGCAAGGTTGCAGCGGCCCCCTCCACTATGCTTGTGTTGCAACGAGCATTCCAGCTCGAGTTGCCATGACCGAAGGCATGAAGCTGTTCAAGGTTTGTCACTTCAGTCATCATGCTTTTAAACTCTCACATGCTCTTACATCCTTCTTTTGCAGTATGAGGATCTTTGGAGCGAGAGATCTCTTAGTCTAACCAATCTGGGACTTTGGTATGGGCTTCAGGTAAGCCTGCTCATGAATCTTTCTTACATTCATGCGTGAGACCTCGGTTGATGTTAATTTTAATTAATACAGGGCCCCCAACTGGAACGTTTCATTAGCACTGCTAGGATCTGGACCATTGAGTACCGCTCGTTGATGCATGACTCAGGCATGCACCAAGTGCGCAAGCAAGATTCATGGAAAGAGGTGATTGCACTTCATCATATTTTCTGCCCTTGCATTCTTTTTGTGTAAACTGACATCCTTCGCCGTTTGCAGCACTTTACTCTGCTGAATGTGAAGTTGTTCGAGAACCATTTTGGCAAACTTGCCAAGAAACTTGGATATTGAGTGATGCCAACAAACCTTTACCGTACCAGGGATGGGTTGTGGTTTGAACTGCAGGATACGCTTCAGTTGAGGTTGGACTGAGTGTCTCACCATTACCTCAGAATGTGGTACACTCCATG